TGGTTAAGGTGGCGCACAGACTTGCTGCTGGTTACCTGAAAACAGTAATATTACTGTTTTATTAACGTGACTGAAAAAAGTAGAGAAAAACACTACAGTAAAAAACAAAAGGATAAAAGCATTTAACTGAGGACCTATTTTCCAAACCCACTTAATCTAACTCACTCTTTCTAAAACCATGCTTGCTGAATGTAGTTTATGGGTAATACTGGTACTCATTTATTTGAAATTCTCTCTCTCTCTCTATAAAGCATATCCACACAATTTTTCAGTGCTTATCATTGTGGTCAATTTTAACCCTACAGATGTGCCACATATCTCACAAAATAACTTACTAAATGGCCTGTAGTTAAATTACTTTCACATAGAGAACTCAGATGGACTAAGAAGCCTGATTAATAGAAGTTAGGTGAGAGTCTACTTTGACATTTTTAAAAAGAACATTTTGGTGTCAGCATATCAATCAAAGTTGGTACTTCAGAGAGAGAAAAAACTGGTAAGACTTCCTCCCTGAAGCAAAAGTCTGACAATCTAGTAAGGAGATAAACAAGTAGCTATAAACTATAGGGTCAAGTGGCGGAAGGTGAGGCTGGAAAGGAAGCGGCTGACGCATGGTAGACTTAGAACTTCAGGTCAAGGAACACAAACCATTGGGAACCTGGTAAGAGTACTGACAAGATGATTGGCGGCAGAGTATAAAATTGCTGGGAGTAGAGAAAAAACAAAAAAGGAAGATTTAAATGCCTAACAGAGACTTAAACAGAAGACAAATGCGTAACAGCTGACAGAGAGGTTCTGAAACAGTTAAGAAGGTACAGTGGGAGTTAGGAGAAGGAGACAGATGTAAGAGGTTTTGCTTCAAAGTTTTACTGAATAATTTTTTAAATTTTATAAATGGGAGAAGATGTCACTCCCAGAGGGCATCATTGGTATCATGGAGAAATGAGTTTAATAAATTTATTTTATTAAATTATTTACTTTAAAAACTAAATAAAACTTTTACTTAAAAAAAACCCAGATAGTTCTGAAGTTCTGCATTACATCTAAAGAGAATAATTTGTTTTCTTAAATATATTTCCTTAGATGTTGTATTTTCTCTGTCATCTTTTATAAATTATTGATTGGTTCAATCTATGAAAAGTTTGCTAAGCAAAGAAAACTTCCCTCTTACTTACCCCATTTATCACAGTTACAAAAAAAAATCACTCATTTGGGATGCTTGTTTCCTTGACTAGGAAATAGTTTCTGGGTTTTTCTATCCTTTCTAATTAAGTAGAGAAGGAAAGAAGTGCTCCAGGATTGAGAAGTGATTCTGGTTGAGGAATAGTCGGGAGAGGGAAGCATCAGGCAGGAGAAGGGTAGCTCTTCTTGGAAGATCACATATCTACAATCAACCCAACCTCCTATCTTTCCACTGCCCATCATTTTAGGGTATCTTTTTGTTGCTGTTGTTCCTTTTAAGGCTGCTTTTGATACTCATTTTTATAGAAGGAGAACAGGGTGACCCCAAAATATCCTAGTACAATACTACGTGCAACAAGTTGGTCTAATAAGGCACTCGGTCAAAAAGATCAAATGTAACTTGTATGTGAGTTCCCTCAGGGAAGGCTGTGTTCTTGAAACAGTTCTACAGATAATAGGTGAAAGGTGTCTGCCCATATATGTGGAACCAAAAATTTGAACACACGATGTCAAAATTGTTCTATTTTTAAAACTATAAAGGCAGATTCCTCTGTGAACTGCACATTCCTTGAGGTTCCTCTTTAACCCTGATCCAATCTGCTTCCTTTTCCTTAGCATCACTGACTCAACCTTGGTTTAGGTTATCATTATCTCTCACCAGTGCCACACTAGTTTCCGTTTCTATACTCAACTTCCTCACTCTCAATCCATTCTTTTTTTTCCCTCAAATATATATATTTTTATTGAAGTATACAGTCAGTTTACAATGTTGTGTCAATTTCTGGTGTCCAACATAATGCTTCAGTCATACATGAACATACATATATTCCTTTTCATATTCTTTTTCACTGTAAGTTATAAGATACTGAATATAGTTCCCTGTGCTATACAGTATAAACTTGTTTATCTATTTTATATACATTAGTTAGTATCTGCAAATCTCAAACTACCAATTTATTCCTTCTCACCCTCTTACCCCTCTGATAACCATGTTTGTTTTCTATATCTGTGAATCTTTTTCTGTTTTGTGAATAAGTTTGTCTTTTTTTTTTTTAAGATTCCACATAGAAGTGATATCATATGGTATTTTTCTTTTTCTTTCTGGCTTACTTCACTGAGAATGACGATCTCCAGGTCCATCCATGTTGCTGCAAATGGCATTATTTTATTTTTTATGGCCGAGTAGTATTCCATTGTATAAATATACCACATCTTCTTTATCCAGTCATCTGTCGATGGACATTTAGGTTGTTTCCATGTCTTGGCTATTGTAAATAGTGCTGCTATGAACATTGGGGTGCATGTATCTTTTTGAATTAAGGTTCCCTTTGGATATATGCCCAGGAGTGGGATTGCTGGATCATATGGTAAGTGAATTTTTAGTCTTTTGAAGAATCTCCATACTGTTTTTCATAATGGCTGCACCAAAGTACATTCCCACTAATGATATAGGAGAGTTCTCTTTCTCCATAGCCTCTCCAGCATTTATCTTTGTGCACATTTGAATGATGGCCATTCTGACTGGTGTGAGGTGATACCTCTCAATCCATTTTTTATACACCAGCTGAGATACCTAATTTGAAACTTCCCTGCTTGAATCCTTCCACTGACTTCCAGATACATCCAAACTCCTAGCATATTATGCTAGTCCTTCTGTGATGTAGTCCCACCTGGGTCATCTGGGTTTCTCTGGGTCATCTCTCTCCATACTTTCACTTAACACCCCAAACTCTATTCCCGTATAACATCCTCCCACCCCCAGAAAAACTCCACCATCTCTGGCCTCTAGGGTGTAGTGGGTGCTGCAACTTCTACTAAGACGGCCACTGCTCATCTCTTAGCTAATTCCTACTTACATTTTAAGACAGGAAAGTTGTCTCAAAAGGAGAAATTGCCTCTGACTCAGTAAGACTGGATTAGGTATCCTTGCTATGTACACCCATAATACCCTTAGTTTTCATGCTGTCACAATACTTACAATCTGTACTGTAATTTTCTCCAAATCTACTGTGAGCAATTTGAGGGTGGCCTGTGTCTTTTATCTCCTACTGCAGTGCTTGCTATACAATAGATGTTCAAAAATTTTTTGGTGCCCCTTCGAAAAAGGAACTGACTGGTCACGAGTGAAATTGCATTTTGTTTGCTTCTCTCATGCCCCTAGTCCAGTCATTCTCCTTTCTGGTCTACCCTGCACACCTTTCAGTCCCAACTTCAAATGACTTCTATCAAGGTCTCTCCTTCCTTGGAAACATTGGTTTCCCTACTGTCTATGGCAGCAAGTCCAGAACCTAGGTCTAGCTTTCAAAAGTCTTACTATCTGTTTGGATCTACATGTTCTGCTTTATTTCCAGTCCCTATTGGCTCTTATCTCTGGCCACTTGGTATATTCTGCCTTCATTTTTCCTATTGAAATCCCACCTGTCCTTCCAAGACCCTGCACAATAATCATTTCCTCACTGAAGTCTTCCTTGGTTCTTCACATACTGAGCATATAGTTTACCACTCATTTGGGCACTTACATGTCATCTTGCTTGGAGGTAACCTTTTTTGGGGCAGGCCTTCTCTCTTCCACAAGATGGCTTAAGTTCCTAGGGTGCAGGAATCATATCATCCTCTTTGGTATCTCTCAGTACAGCAATACCTATTCAATTTCAAAAAAGTGAATAATACATTATACCAATAAAATGAAAACTGCCCAGATATGGAATTTGACCTTTAAATTGAAAAACACTAGAGAATAAAGAGTCAGTTTCTAAGTTTGTCCTTTGCAGAGAAAGATGTAAACTGGAAAGGTGGGTTGGATAGGTATAGGTGTAAATGAGAATAATTTTACTTGTATAAGTCATCATTAAAAGGTTAAACAGGTCATTATTACACATTTTCCCAGGTCATCATATTTTCTCTAAGAACACTTTGTTATCATCTTGAATATTAAACAGTGGGTTATGCAGAGGAATGCAACACTACCCTGTAATATAATATTACATTGTAAGGCTGATCATGTGAATCAAAATGAAAAAGGCACCCCCAACCTACTATCCCTACAATATTATTTAAAGTGACAACAGAGCCTACGAGAGTAGACTATGCTTTTCCTCAAGCAAAAATTCCTTTGGCATCTAGTCAAGGGTAGTCCAGCACTCTTTAAAAAAGTGGTGGTCCTGTGGCTCCTCCTTCAGGACACTTACCTAATATACTGAATTAGTCTAGAGTTGAAACAATGTGTTGCCTTCATAAACTCTTGTTCCATTTCAACAAGCCCTTCTAAAAATACAAAGTTCCAACTGCAAAGATTATTTGATGATGTGAAGTACAAATGAAATGGCACACCAATATGGATTGTTGTTTTGGTAACTGGTAACTTTTCAGCAGCCTCAAATTGCTTCACGTATATTCCTGGCTACTTTATTTAAACACTGGGTCATTTTCGTTTTTATTTTTGAGTTTCTTTTGGTATGGTCAGAAATTGAAAACTGTAGTTTAAAGCAAAATGGAAAATACATTCGAATCTCACTTTTACCAGTTCCATGGCTTTGGGCAAGGTGTTTAACTTTTCTGAGCCACAGTTTTTTAATTTATAAAATGGGGATAATACGCATTTTGTACAATTGCTATCAGAATTATCAACATATGTAATATAAACTAACGCCATGCCTGGTGTTTAGTGTGCAATTGCTATTATAATGTTTTTTTTATGTATCAGACAGTAATTAAAGTCATATTAGATGGGACATTTACTCTTCTGGTACAAACACCTAAAATATCACCCTAACAATCATAATTTCTGGTGATTTCATAAAATCAAAAGATGCAATCACTGTTGTCATTAATATGATCTTTAATAAGTGGAATAATGCACCATTTTACAGCAAGCCTTTTTTAAACCTAAAGAACTGTCTTAAAATCTCCTTCTCCAATGTCTCTGTATCAATACAATCTTTTTATTTAGGTTTATATATATCAAAGCATTTACTTACAATTATTCATAGAAAACTCTTTAGTGGCTTAATGTCAGCTTTCATAGTGGCATCCATAGAGAATACAAAAGAAAAGTGATTTGCTTTATTTCATACTCACACCGATCCATCAAACACAACTTATACAGCATAGCAAGGTCTCAGACGGCTTATACAAAAGCAAAATAACTGAAAGTAATTATTCATAAATTCATATATGATATTCTATTGGTAATGTAAGAGCAAAACACACCAACAAAAGATACCCGTTAACAAGAAAGAGGGTTCTGAGGAACTGCAATATTTTTCAGCCTTTCTTTTTCTAGAAAAGCATCCTCAGAAGTGAAAACTCTGTAGCTTATGTTTCTCCTGTCCATTCAGAAAAAGCACGGCAGCTACACATTTCCATGTTTCAGCTACTACAACACCATAAGAGTTAGTGTATTTTTACAATTATCCACTTATTTTCATTTGAAAAATTATCAACAGAAAATTAAGGATGATTCCAGCTTATACAAACACTTATACAATATAATCTCCATGGAAACATGACAAGGCATACAAAAACTGTTTAAATAAATAAATGTGACCAGAAAAAGAAAAGCCACAGAAGCCAAGCAATTCAGTGTTAAACCAGGATCTATCTTTGAATTAACTGAATCTTTTAGTATTCTTCTTTAAAAATGTTTCCCTATCACACTTCAGAGGACTGGTCATAAGGTGGAGAGCCTGAGACAAGAGACTGGTTACAAATAACTTCACTACAAGGACATTAAGTATACAGCATACCAATTTGGAGCCTGAACTTGTCTGAAAGAAAAATTCTATTTGGATCTCACAACGTGATAAATAGGTTACCATAGGTTACCTTCGCAAAACCACCCAAGGTATTACTAAACCTATAAACTCACTAATTCACTTTTAGAAGATAGTTTAATAATGCTAAATTACCTCTTGAGAAAATTTTATCAGAGGAACTTCTTTATCAAGTTCTCCCATTAAAAAACAAAGTAAAATGACATGATTTGTCCCATCATGCAGAACCACTTACCCAAAGAACAGAAATGGTTTGAAGATGGTGTTTCAGCTCTAAGGCCTAAATGTGCTGCAACATGTAGCCAATTAGTTGAGTCAGTAATTATAGAACTGGACAACTTTTTATGATTACTGAAATCTGATGTATCTACATAAATTAGGTCAAATAAAAAGAGAAAACATTACATGAATTGTGTGTGCAACAAACATTTTAAATCTGGATCTAATTGCTTGTTTACTACCAATTGAAGTTTTTCAGTGTGCAAAGGGTTGAAAGGGACCCTGAGTTTTTAAGTAATATTATGTCTATTGAGTGAACTAAAACATAAAAGAACAAATAAAATGGAAAAGAACCTCACATGTTGCCTTTCAAAACATTAAAAAAAAGTTGCAGTTTAAAATACAGTAATTTGTTTAAAAAAATCAATCATAAACTGGACACCCAAAATGATACATTTCTAATGATTCCTTCTCTCTTACCCACATTTTAAAATCTGGGTTTCAAATTAAGTTTAAAAATGAATGTTATAATGTTTAATAGTAACACTACAAACATCACAGTAATAATGGAATTAGAATTTTCAAGATATTATAGATTTATCTTGGGCATAATTTAATACACAGCATAAATTCTTCTGAAATATTTACTTTTAAAATGTCACCAGTCATGAGAGAGAATCCTACATTTTTCTTCATATGCACAAACACTCAATTTTAACCAGTCACTTAAAAGTTAAAGTTTTTATAGTCCAGTCTATGTTGCAAAACAATGATGAGTATTTCAAAAGTGGTCTGCAAAAATGTACACAGATAAAAACTGATTATTGTTGGGCTTGCTTTTGAAAGTTAATCTTGCATTTTGTGTTTAATATTTGATACAAAGAAGTATGTAAAATGTGGTTCAATCATAATGCTAAGCTTGCTACAATAAAGATTTTAAAATTTAATAGTAAAATGATAAACAATTCTGTATGCATGGCTTTTTAGTAATAACTAATGAGAATATAAAATCGTAAAACTCCACAATAGAAAATGTTAGATAATACAAACTTAAATTAAGTGCTGATTTGCTGACAATCTGATGGTTGGATCCACTGTCAAATGGTAAACATATTAATTCTCAATTCTATCCTACTGAACTATTACTTAACTAGAGTAATGAATTTGAATATAACAAAATATTTTAAGTGTTCTTAGACATAGTTATTAAAAAAAGACTGAGGAGATAATGCTAAAGGAACCAAAGCAATTTAGTCTGAAAACTTGACTTAGATGTTGAGAAGCCTGAAGCATACTGAAGAAAGACAACATTTGAGATGATAAGCTACTCTTTCACTTTACTACTGATAAGAGAAACAGATATAAAATGAAACAGGAAAGAAGCAGATTAGATATGAAGAAAACTTCTTGACAGATTTCAAGTCAGACAACCAAGGGACAGAGTAAATGAGACAGAAACTAAGAGGTGAAGTAAGGAAAGTAATGGGTAGTTGCATGAGTGCCCTGGGATTTCCTCTTCTTGTGTATGTTAGTTTAATCTGGGAACCTGTAGAAGAGCCTTCTTTTGATAATAATTTGTGTAAATTAGCTCAAACAGTGATTTGCCAGTTACTTAATCAAGGAGTATACTTAGGAATGGATCATGCAAGGTTGTTTTTGGCTAAAGTTTGCATAGTTCAGAATCTAAAAGTTAAAATGCACTTTTATCTGCTGAAGAGAAAACTGACAGTAAAGGAATGAATATCTAGAAACATTCCAGTCTGAAAAAGACTCCTGGGGTATATGTGGGAGTGTTACACAATTTCTAGGATAATTGGTCTAGATAATTAGCTAACACATGGGTCAGTGTTTCTAAGTTTAAGAAGTTAACTTGGAAGATAGAGTAATACATAAAGTAGTCTGTGAGTAGTTATGTAATAACCTACATATGACTGGTAGTAAGTAACATACATTTATGAGAGGTTATATGGAAATAGAATGCAATCTCACATTCCTGGAGCTAAGTACCTCCAATGAAACAGTCATTTTTATAAATAAGAAAAAAAAGCAAAAAGTTTGTTGAAAATTTTTTCCCGTTTTTAAATGACTTTGAAGACACAATGGAAAATTCACTGAATAGATGTAGCCTACCAGGTACTTCGTTTAGCTTTAGAAGACAAATTAGAAAATATTTTAAAGAAAAATACTTCTCAAATTTTGTGATAATTCCCACTGAAACACACTTACTTGAGTGTTTCTACCTTTCTTTTAACTCTTTTCACATTCAGAACCAACATACATTTTCTGGAGCAAGTAGAAACATGGAAGGAAGCTATTCAAACTGATTTATAAAAAGGACATTAGTTCTCTGGATTGTAGAATTTTCTAAAGTAAGTAAAAGCAGAAATTTCAAAATGAAGTGAAAGTGATGAGATTGAAAGTCCACATTAAATTAATTTCACCAAGTCAAGTAGGGAATCAGTTTAGGAAAAAGTCTTTGTTCCCACAAGCCACCTTCATTTTTCCCATAATATTTACCTTACCTTTAGTTCTGCAATATAAGAATGTCAAGAGTGAAGAGAAGTGAGATTTTAAGATTCATGATGGCAGATGTGGAACTCAACTTTGTCTTGAATTAGTAATTTCTCAAGCAACAATGAGCATAGACATGTCTACGAGTCTTCTTGTGTTCACCTAACTTCTAAAGTCATTAAGGTATCCGGTTTGGCTTATACACAAACCACAATTATGCTGGAGTTTAATGCTGAATGTCTTACAAAACATCAGCACATTACACATCCTGTTGTACAGTGTGTAGGCAGTTTGGTGTGGATGAGAGATGTGAAGAGACCAAGCGAGGTTAAAATCTCAGCTTTGCCTATTAGATGTGGACCTCGGGCAAATTACTTAACTTCTCTCAGCTTCAGTTTTCCCATCTGTAAAGCGGGAATATTAACTATAATCCTCATATGGTTGCTGTGAGGAGTAAAAGAGATAATGTACGCACACCACAGCATTTGGTTTGTAATAAACTGCCAATGAGTATTACTCTACTCCTTTCCTTTCCCTATAACTTTTTACACTGATATGTTCCCCTCCCAATTATGCATTTAAAAACAGGAAACATTTTTAGGAGTTATAATTAAGTCATTTTGTCTCAACTGAATTCAAATCAACTTCTTTCGATGACTTAGTTCTGGTATATAATTAGCATAGTTAACGGAATTAATAGCAGACTTTGATTACCTATTATGATACTTTTAAGGTTGCAATACTTTAATGGTTGAATTTTAATATTTTTTCATTTAACAAATGAACTTTTATTCAAAGGGACCCAAATGCTTTTCTACATGCAAAATTTTGTGATAGTAATTAAATATTAGCTTTAAGAAACACTAGATAAATAAAGTTAGCAAATGAGTATTTTAAGTGATTTTGCTTGCTTGTATATTAACGGATTCTAACAGTAAATCAGTCTGATGTGCAACTGGATTTAAAATTTAATAAAATGATCTATACTCTATCTTTTCAAGAGTCTACTAATAAAAGACTGGGGAAAGGATATTATTTGTTTAACATGCTTGCATGAAATGGGAAACTATAAGGAGTTCTTTTAATTTGGTATATCAATTTTTGAAAGCATATTATTATTAAACATCAAAAAACTGCAGGAAAACTTACAATTAACTGGCCCAAACAGTGTAGTAGAACATAAGAGAACTCTTCTTCTGTCAGGAAAAGATCAGTTAGACCTCAAATGGTCATTTATCCTTGATGCTTCCAATTGGAGAAGAAATATAATTTATTTTGATTCAAAGATGTCTTACAATTTTTTTAAAGTATGCTGAAATATAGTTGAAATACACTGAAAAGCAAGAGAACTAAATGAAAATTTACTAGGAAAGATATAAATAATTCATTACATAGATTAGAAAATAACTAAATAAGAAAATTTTATTCCAGGTGTATGAAAAATATGTTAAAAGTCTGAATCAAGAGAAGGGTCAATAAAACATAAAAGGTGGAAATCCTGGGCACTAGCAAGATAATCTTAATTCAAAGAATTCAAAATCCTGTTTAGCAATTTAGCTGAATAAATGATAAATGTTGTAACATCTAGTTTTATAAGATCACCACCAACAGCAAACAAAAGAAGCCTTATGCACAAGTAAGTCATAAGTATTTTGGAGAGTAAACGGAAATTTAGGCCTGTCTTTAGCTAAATGATGCAAATAGAGAAATATGAGTGAGAAAATATTGTCCAGGAAAAAACCTAAATCAGGAATTTGGGGATTCAAGTTTTCCTCTTAGCTTTTAATCTCCCAGAGAAATCTTAGAAATTAACTAATAACATCTAGGAAGTTCTCTGAGAATCTGAAAAAAATAAGTGAGACCATCATTGTTTGCAAATTGAAAGAAAATAATTTGTGCTTATAAAAAAAAGTCCCTTATTTGACATAAAGTGCTTTATTTAAAAAACATGCAGAGGTTGTTTTAAAGACAATTACCAGTAATGAAAGAAGCAAGGGAAGCTTTAAAAAAAAAATGATTTGAACATATAACACATTATCACTAAAAGGTACATTCTAATATAAGTAATAAATGCTACTCACATATCAAAGATGACATGAAAAACTGGCAAAAGGAAAATTATGAAAATAGAATTAGTAAAGAAACACACAGTTTTGAAAAGACAGAGGTAAGTCTCAGTCTGCTTAAAAATGATAAGTTTGGCAGCAATCCTTCCTTCCACAGGGATTTGGCATGCCAGTTGAATGATTTTTCCACACAGTGTTTTAGGTCATGGGAAGAGGAATTATTTTCAGATAAAGTTACCAGGCTTTGCTTGGGAAAAGAATAAAAAAGATACTGCAGGTTTAAAACTATGAATTACTTTTAAAGTTATCTTAAACAGGATGTAATTTTATTTGAGTCAAACATGGCCTATTCAGAGAATGAAGGCTATAATACTATACTGTCTTAACCATCTACCTACTTAAAAAATTCCATATAAGTATAGCTCTATAAGTTTTCTGATAAAAATGTGCTTCTTAAATAAATGAATGTGGAACAGGAACACATATAAAAAATAAAATAAAATGGAAAACAGCTAACATTTGACTTACTCTACTTTGTTCTATGCTCTTATGAACTTCCAAAACCAGAACCAAATATGTTTATTAAAATGCCTGGAAGGAAATGTTTAGGATTTGGAAGGATAAAAGAAATGGCATTTCAAATTAGGTTTGGTAGTTCCTTCTTCAGAGCCCTTTGAGACAATGTTTCTGCATTCTCCATAAGGAGAGAGAAAGCAAGAAATCAGGTAGCTGCTTTCTCTTGTGCAAAAATTCACTGTCATAGAACTGACCTGCCAACATGATGGAGGATGGGCGAGAAAAATGTTCATATCATGGAAGAATGTGTGCTCTGTTAGGAAGAGACCTTACAAGAAAGCTTATTTGTGGCCTATAGACTATTGCACGTTCAAACAAAACGCAAGAGAAAAAAATGTCCATCAGATAATATGTTCAGGAACGTATCAACATATAAACTAGCTTGTGCCCAGGAATAATACATGGATACCAGACACCACTGCAGTCAAACCTGTCTTAGTTTGCTTCTGTTTTAATGACCTTTAGAAACTGGTCCAAACTGATTATCAGCAATACATTGTTTTTGCTTTTTTTCTTAAAAAAATATTTTGAGACCACTTTTGATACACACACATATAATTCTGTGGTCATAACAGACAAATATAACTTTAGCAAGACTAAACAAAAGTGCAAAACTTAAAAAAACAAAATTAAAAAATATGGAAGCATAAGCTAAATTTTTTCTGCATAGCTGAAATCTATTTAAAGCAAGTCCTTGTTGCAGGGGTGGGAGGGGATACTGACAGGAGGATAAAGCAGTTTTTTTTTTTAATGTCTTCTGCATGTTTAAACAATGCAAAAAATAATTTCCTTTCATAAGCTTGAGACGTTTCACAGGCAGTTCATCCCTATATCTTTAGACACCATTGTTGTGGCAGTGCCTCCTTCTGCAAGGTACACAGCAGTGCTAGATTTGGAATGAACTGCCCTGTCTTTGCCATTGTTGTTGACCTCACAGTCCAGTGGTTCAGTGGAGATGACCCAGGTGGAGGGGCGCCACCGCTTAAGAGAATAAGGAGTTTTCACACGTTTCTTGATCTTTTCACCAGATCCTGATTTGCCATCTTGCGATGAATCACCTACTGAAAATAAAAGTGCAGAAAAATAAACTATATATAGAGAAACTATTAAAAAGTAAAAAGAATTGTAACTGGAAAAGAGATCAAACTGATGTCTGCAGAAGGAGCTAATGGATGTTTCTTGAAATTCATGATGCCAGGCAATATTTTTCCAGGCAAAACCTAACCAATTTATTTTTGTAATTCTTTAAGTCCAATGTTTTTATAACTGGTAGGATTATTCCATATGGAAAGGAAGAAAATATAGGAAAAACACAAAAAAGTAAAAACAGAAGAAAACTCCAAGTTCTCAATTGTATTGTAAAATCCCTTGGTTATTAGTAGCAATTCGAACTTCGCAGAATGCATTTAATCATTCTATTTCATACTCAAACTGCAGCAAATTTTAAAGGCACTTGGCGTATAATATTTTTCAGAAGAATTACACAAATACTAGAGTACAAATTTTCTAGTAATTTCCCCCTCCCATAACTGACAAGACATTTTACTGATGTGGAATACTGCCATAAAGTGTCACCTTTTCTGTAATACAAGCCACTCAAACAATGGGCTAGATTCTACTAATTTTTGACAGCTGAATCTGTTCAGCCCATTTTGGAGTCTTTGAAAACAACCATAAAGCATGACTTTTTTTCCCCATAAGTGCTATCAGACTAAAAGAGAAATCATTTTTTTATAATAATAACTGTTGAAGATTTTGGTAAGCTCTCCTGTTTTGTGTTATAATCCTGTTAGGGCCATAAACCAAGTATCAAGTTATTTGTTTAAGTTGCTAGGGGCCTCGTAGCACAATGCTATAGGCATGTGGGAGACTTAACACATAACTCTTGGAAAAAATGACGCTAAAAACCAAGAACAACTTTATTGTTTCTTTTTAGTGACTTTTCTAAATTTCCTCTGGACTTGAAAGATTTATTAAGATTTTTCTAATAAAATATAAATGTATATAAAAGATATTAA